TTTTTTTTACAAAGGTCATAACACAAAATAGAAGAAGGGTATTGGAGTCATTTACTTTCTAAGGATAGTATAGGTATTTCAATTATTATTTTTACCTTTATTTAATGATTGAGTTATTTAAACAAAAAAATTATTCAAAGGGTCATTTAAATAAAACCACCTCTTGACCATCCCTCTTAAACAAAGAGCCCCGAGATAGATTATGAATTATTTGCAGATTGACCTCGGAAAATTTTCTTTATTTAAAAATAATGGCTTTGGGATTTTTGTACATGCGCGAAGCGAGAAATTTTAGTTGAGGGGGTCGGGGGGTCTTACACGGTGTCTTATATAGATCCGCCCTGCTGTCGGGATCTTATTATTTTTTTAATGGGGTCTTACACGGTGAAATTTTGTTACGTACAAGTGGTTCAACGCAAAGCGTCGGTGTCGGATGACCCCAACCAGTACAAGTAGCTTCGCCCCTGTTTTTGTACAAACACGTGTAGGGTTAATTGCATCAAAAATCTCAATTTTTGTTTTAATTGCAAATAAAATTTAACTTTTTCAACTTGACAACAAAATATTAAATTTTGATTAAGTATTGTAATTTTGTCTTAAAATCTATTTCCGGCCAAGGCACGCTAACATGTCCTGTAACAGCCCAGTCAACCCGTAGTAAGATATTGTCCGCTTTGGGTATACACCAAAGCGGACAATATTCTACTACCGGTTGACTGGGCTGTTACAATTGTATCAGAGCCAGTACCCGGATAGATGTGCCAGCGAGGACGCTGGGCCCCCCAAGGGAGGTAGATCAGATATCCCACATCGGTTGTGAAGGGGAACGAAACATGCCTTATAAGTGGATACCTTCACTAGTAGAACACGTTTTGGTGAGCTAGCTCCCAAAGGCAAAACCGTGAGGGAATGATCTGGTGTATACCAAAGCAGATAATATCCTACTACGAATTGACTGGGTTGTTACACATGAAAAGAAATGTGATGAAGACATTGGGTCAGAATTTTGGATGCCTGCATGTGCAATTTATTGAATTTTTCAATAAATTGTGTGAATTTATTGATGGGTCACAATTTTGGTCACAATTATGTATTTACTGCATGAATTTATTGATGGGTCACCATTTTGGTCACAATTATGTATTATCTGCATGAATTTATTGATGGTTCACAATATTGTATCACTCAATTACAATTACAACTACAACTGGAAGCTCATTTCAAAGACTTGAAGGCTCGTTAACACTCTTGGAACGTTTTCGGCTATGTAAACCAACCTTTGGCTCCAGTGGCTCCAGCATTCAAATTGCTATCAAAATAACAGAAAATGCACAATAGTACAACCGAAGAACACAGTAAAATGCCTTCTAAGTTACAGCCTTAAAAGCACCTAACAAATTCTAACACCACCAAACAAAAATACAAGGCCTCGTTTATCAACAATCACCACAAAGGAACATCATCTTATTCACCATACAAGTATTAAAAAAATTAAAAAAAAAAAAAGAAAAGAAAAAAACTACATACAAATAGGCTATCATCCCCATACAAGTATTAAGGATGTTTTATGAGACTGGCCATCCTTAAACCTGAAGAACATTACTACCTGGAAGATCACGCCACTCGATCTGAACCTGAACTTCTCCACACTCGGCATTCCTCAACCTAAGAATCATGTCCTGAACCATGTTGCCCTTGTTCCACACCACACAGCTCTCATCCACCAAACAGTTCCCATGGCTTGGCTGAACCCTTTCAACTTTGGTCCCCTCCGGGAGACTTTGCAACCCCATCTTCACACACTCTATTAAAGGTTTTATGTCGATTTTTGCATTTCCCATACTATCATCGTTGGTGAACGTGTCCTTGTCATACACGGACTAAGAAGAAAAGTAACAAGGAGAATTAATTTGAAATATTGTAAACGATAGCAAAAGAACCGAGACTAGGTATGGGGAACTTACGAGAGTGATGGGGGCATTTAGGTCCTTGATGTAAATGGTCAGCTCTTCATTCCAGACAGGGTTGCAGTTGTCCTTCACGACTCCGGTCTTCACCCTCTTCAACAATTAACGTAGACAGAATATGAGAGTTTGTGTGCGTGTGTGTGTGTGTGTGTGTGTGTTTAATAGACGCATGCATTAATGGCAAACAGGCCAGGAATCTTGCATTCGTACTCTTCAGGGGAGTTACTAGTGGCATTACAAACATATATTTAATCATCCTTCATTTCATACTTTTCTTGATGTTCTATAAACGTACTTATGGAATCAAAACTGAGACATAATTCAAAAGAAAATAAGACAGTAGCCGACAGTTGTGCACATAGCACCAAGAAAAAGAATCTAGAAAAGTTGCGGAGAAATAGTTTCCGAACCCAACAGATAGTCAAAATGTATATGCACTATGCACTAAACTCCCTAAGGCTGGGATGTATTGAACTTTTTAAAAAAAAAATATGCATAAGTTCACTTTCTGCAATCGAGCTACGACTTATATTAAAGGAGATCTAGGATACGGCCGAGGACACCAGAAAAAATTTGGGTTTTTTAAGACAAACTGAATTTGATTTGTACTGTTGTTCTTTCTCAAATTTGAAAGATCAATGACAAATACTAAGATCAGTTTACAACTCATTGAGAAACTTCTTAAGAGAGACAGAAAATAAGGTTCCTACTGGTTATTTTATTCCTACCTCAAATTTAAGCTTTCACTTACGAGCACTGTACACAAAATTTCATCATCGTACAAACATCATTATTAACTAAGAACAACATCCAATCCTATAATCAAAAGTATACTAATAAACAAGGCAGAAAAAAGGTTCTTCATCCTTAAAAATAATCTGGTCCGCTGCAAATGGAGATTTCAAGCAAAAACCTGATTTGAACCAGCTAAGTATATCCATCGATTGTCAATTTGAACACCAAAAACGGGAGAGTAACACTAATTTTCTTTTCATCCATTGTCCAAGCACATAAAAGCCTGATTGAAACATGAAACAGAGTGTAGAAGCAGATGAAAATTAGACAAATAGACTGACCTGCGAGCCACATTCGACAACAACGTATGGATCGCTTGTCCTCGTGTCGCGAACGGCGAGATTGATGCCTCGGATGACGCGAATTTTCAGAAGACCCAAAGCATCCATGGAAGAACTCGAATTCTTTCTTCTCTTTTTTTT